TCACGAACAGCACAAAAGGTTGCAGATACTCCAAGGATTGTGTGTTTCGGCGTTCCGACGCCAGTGAGTCAATCAGGCATGATCGAGAACCGGATTTTTGTCCGAAGTTTCCGAGCTTTTAGTGTGATTTTATAATAGAGACAAAGAGCTACAATGACATATAGGCCACAGGCAAATGGAACGGCCGAACGGATGGTACAAACTCTGACGCGGTGTACCCCCTCCGTTAGTCGGTCGTCTGGGCGCTAGTGGAGCGTGGGAATTGTCTCAAAAAAAGATCGATCACCACCCACCCCACTACTCCCATCTGAGTGACTCGTAATGGGAGGTAGTCGGCCGCATCAGTGTGCTCATGGGCGAACCCGCCATCAGTGGCATGTTGGAGTCTCTAAACAGAGACTAGCAACATGCTGCTATCAACAAGTTCCTACAAGGGGAAATTGCCGTAGAAAGACAAAAGATAGCCTTGCTACAACAGCAAGGCTCTAATCAGTCGAACGGTCGGCCGATGAACTCCCGTCGACCCGAAATATTAAAGATAGACATCTGAAGGTACAAGGAAGTCGATGGAGATTCCCTTTTGAGATGGTTCGTCGAGTTAGACGACGCCACCAGGGCCCGTCACATCGAGGGTGACGAGATGCAAGTCACCATCGCATTTTCAAACTTGACATGACGAGCAAAGACTTGGGCCTTAGGGCTCAAGCTTCACGACTCAAACGTGTTTGAGTCGTTGGAGACCTTAAACGCTCGGCTTAAAGAGGCGTTTGAGCCGCCGAGAGCCGTGTTCAGAGCACGCTCTGCACTCTTGAGGCTAGAGCAAGGTAAGCGTGAGGTACACGCTTACGCACGGCACCTGCGCTATCTTGCAAGCAGCGTTGCGGAAACCCCTGTTGATGAGCACGCGCTCACCAACGTTTTTACCTACGGCCTTGTGGATGGGCCGGTGAAGATCTACATGTTCCGAGAGGACTTCCATACGCTTGTTAAGGAGTTAGCGCATGCGGAACAAGAAGACTTCAGCCCGAGACAGTCTTAGGCTATATCGCCAATCAATCATCCGACTAGACGACAGGAAACAGGAGGTCCCGAACCAATGGACCTCTGCTACATCGATAGCGAGAACTCTTGCCCTCTGAGTCACAAGAGAACGGCAAGATTCTATTGCTCAGAAGGTTGGACACTACGCTCATGAGTGTAGTGTCCCAAGCACCGCAACACGTCCAAAGACAGGACTTGATGACCACCGTTGGCCAAGGAAAGGTCGAAGGCTTGGATCCGACCTTGTCGCTAAGCCGCGACAGCAAGTCGGACTGCCAACAAACGGTCAGGGTCAATAGAGGCGGAGCATCCTGCTGATCCAGCAACGTCTAGAAAATTTGCAGGACTCTTGACGAAGATTTCTCCCAACACACAGTCGCTGTGTGTTACTGCCCCTAGTGATGAGGAGTCTCTCATCACTTTGAAGATCGACGTGACAAGTGAAATGTCACTTCGTGACCTAGTTGAATGCGGGGCGTCCAATAGTTTTATTCGACGCCAGTCGCTAGAAGATAGTAGACTCAACTTTGTTGAGCGAGAGATCCCTCCAATGAGCATGACGGTGTGCCTTGCTACAGGCGCACCCGTGACAGTGAAGAAACGTGTAGTAGGAATCCACTACACGATAGAAGGAAAGCAGTACGATGAAGACTTCATCGTACTGTATTTGAATGACAAATTTGACGTCATCCTTGGTCTGCCATGACTTAGAAAGTACCAGCCATGGGTTAGCTGGCAGCATCGATCCGTGAAGATGCCTGCCGTTTTTTTCATCGGATGGCCATCTGATGAACGTCTTGGAGCGTCCACAAGCGTGTGGATGTACTACGAGTGAGTGCGATGGCCTCACTTGTAGTACGGTCGTTAGTATGATTGCACAAGATCACAGTGTAGAAGGCCACTTCAATGTGGAACCAGCTTCCGGCACCTGCGTAGAGACACAGGCTGCGCCGAAGGTTCACCACTCGAAGAGATCGAGTGGACTGGAACACGGATGCACACCAAGAAGGATGCATCCGAGAAGAGAGATTAGTGTTGTTCAGGATGAACAACACGTTAAAGCGAGATCGACTATCAGAGAGTCGATCGTAGAGCAAGCCCGATCCACTGAAAGAGAGTCGATCGAAGAGGCCGTGACTGTGGCAGTGCACCCACAGTCATTACACGTATTGGAAGAAAAATCCAGCGTTTCTGAGAGAAATAACTTCCGAGAGAGTTATGTTGAGGGTCCGTTTACCCAACCACCTGCGGATGTTTTTTTCCAGGAAATGACCGAGACAGCGGATGTCTTGGTGAATGACGGATTTAGTGTAGGCGCTTATACACTTTATATGGTTACGCCCCCGAAGTCAGCTTTGTAGGTAATCAAGTTGCCAATGCTGGAATCTAAATGATTCTTGCGAGATCTGCACAGTGACAAGATCAAGCAGATCTGTGTACTCGTCACAGAGGACGAGTACGTCGCCGATATTCGGTCGCCACAAGTGCTTCTGAGAACGAACGGGTTCTCAGTAGATCATCGATGGACGAGAGTGTCCTCGATGAGAAGACCTGGATTGAGCGATACACGTATCAATCTTGGGAGTCTTTGAAGACAAACCCTTTGTGTAATGCTTTGATCGAATACAGGGATGTTTCCCCTGAATCCGTGCCATGCGAGCTGCCCGAGGACAAAGGCACTCGGCATGAGATCGAACTGAAACCCGGTTCGAAGTACTGTGTCATGAAGCAGTGGCCACTGCCTCGTGAATAGGTCACAGCTATCGACAAATTCTTTGCCGATCGATCAGCGGCTGGTCATGTGAGGGAATCAACATCCCCACGCAGCTCTCCGACCTTCTGTGTGCGGAAGGCCACAAGAGGGTGGCGGATAGTGCACGCGTTCAACAAATTGAACGCTGTAACGGTACCGGCTTAGACGCCGATACCGACGAAGGACGTCATAATTAATGGTATGACAAAAGTACCATCTTTTCGTCCATGGATCTGATAGATGGATTCTACCAGATCCTCACGCGTGACGGGACATCCCGTACACAGCAGTAATCACCCCCAGTGGTATGCTCTGGGAGTGGCTAGTGATGCCACAGGGGCGAAGTAACGCCCCTACAACGTTTAACAGATGCGTTACGAATCCATTGCGATCGGTGCGCAATTTCGCACCGAGTTACTTCGACGATGTCTTCATCTGTAGCCGGGCTATGGATGGAAAGAAGGACGTGGAGGGTCATAGAATCCACGTCCGAAAGGTTCTTACTCAAATGCGAAGCATAAGTTAGTTCGAGAATCCTAAGAAGTGTGTACTCGCAGCGAGCGAAATACCACTTCTTGGCTTCATCGTGGGTAAAAACGGCGTACGCCCTGATGACTGTACATCTCTCTCGTCTGTTAAAAAAAAACGGGAGGTGGTCATGGAGTGCTGAGTGTCAGCACTCCTTCGAAAGTATCGAGAAAAGCTTGATATAATTGCCTGCGTTGGCGAATGTAGACCAGTACAGACCATCCCATGTGGTCTGTGACGTCAGCGATTTTTCAATCGGCTGCGCGCTAATGCCGTACGACTCAGACGGCGTTGAGCGCGTCGTCTGTTATTAATCGCGTCAGCTGCAAGCAGGGACGCAAAATTATCCGGTGCATGACAAGGAACTCCTTGCCATGAAATGTGCACTGGCTAGGTTTCGGGTATATCTATTAGGAGATGGTCCCTTCATCGTTTACGCCGACCATGAGTCGTTACGCACGGCCGTAAACAGTCCACACCTATTTGCAACGAATGGCGAGGTGGCTGTCTTTCTTCGAAGAGTACAACTTCTACGTATAGTATAAACCAGGACGACTTAATGTCGTCGCTGATGCTCTTTCGTGTCGGCCCGATTTGAAGCCGACTGCCCCACCCAACAGTTGGGGTGATTCCACTGTAGCAACACTATCAGTGAGTGTTCCGTCGTCGAATCTGCTCGACGACGTGCGAAGAGCATACGCAGAAGATGAGTGTCTTCTGCGATTGATGGATTACGTATTCAATCCGTGCAGTCAAGCTTTGAAAAGCTTGTCGTCTCAATACCGCTCTTCAACCGAACGGTATTCTGTTCGTGATGGACTGCTGTACTATACAGCAGTGAACGGCGACACGCCTCGTGTCTTCATTCCCGCTCATAATGATTTGCGATTGCGCATCATGTATGAGTGTCACGATGCCCCAACAAGTAGGCATCGCGGTAGAGAAAAGACTTACCTCACGGTAAGTCGTGACTTCCACTTGCCCCGCCATTATGAGTTTGTGCGCAAATACATTCGCGCTTGCGAAGTTTGTCAACGGGTGAAGACTAGTAATTCATCCCGTGCACCCTTGCAGTCTCTACCGATTCCGGCAGAGTGCTGGCAGTCCTTATCGATGGACTTCTTCTTTGGGCTTCTCACAGACGCTCACAAGAATTCCGGTTTTCTTGTGTGTGTTGATCGGTTCAGCAAGAAAGTGCATCTTGTTGCTGTACCGGAGTCAATCACAGCCCAGGGATGTGCTCTTGTCTTTAGTAACACTATCGTTCGACTTCACGGATTACCCCGTGAACTCGTTTCGGACAGGGACCTTCGCTTCACAGCGGATTTCTGACAATCCGTGTTCCGTTCACTTCGAACACGTTTGAAGATGTCGACTTCTGACCATCTAGAAACAGACGGTCGGACGGAAAGCGTCAACCGCGTCCTCGAAGAGATACTTCGAGGGTACGTCCACTCGTTTACGAGCTGGAGTGAGTTCTTGCCGATGGCGGAATTTGCCATCAACAACTCGGTACATGCATGGACAACGCATACACCGTTTTTCGTGAATGGCCTACGCCATCCACGTTTACCCGCCTTCTTAGAGTGTGACTCTAGTTTAAGGGGGGGGGTGGACTCGCTCGAACTAAAACCGATCTGGTTCTTACTCATCACATGTCGACAATGGTGTCGACGTGATGGATGCCGATGTCGATGCGATCGATATCGATGACGACGATGCTTGTACAATCAGCATCGCTAATGACTGCTACAGTGAGAATGAAGCCCTCACTGGTGAAGACGACGTTCTTTCAGCAGTGCACTCGAAGCGCACTGCTGTTGACAAGGATGAATCAGCAGAGGAATTTCTGCTGACTCGCGAAGCGGTTGTCCGCTTCGTTCAAGACTCTATTGCAGATGCAATATACAAGCAGAAAAGAAACGCAGACAAACATGGAAAAGTAAATGTTCTTTCATTTGATAAAGGAGACTTAGTTTTACTGTCTACAGTAAATTTACCACAACACGCAGTGAAAGAAGTGGACAGCAGTAAATTACTGCCCAAGTACATCGGTCCATTTCGTGTGTTGCGCCGAATGGGCAACGCGTACACTATTGAACTGCCTCGTAGGATGCGTATGCATCCTATCTTTTACGTTGGTCGTCTCCGCCTGTACTACCAGTACGAGCCCGTTTCGAGAGGTGAAGAACACCTCCGCGGTCAAGGGCAGAGACCACCTTCGAGTGGTCCCGTTTCAACGAGCCAGTTTGGTCGACTAGCGAAGCGACCTGTTCACGCAGCTCAGCGATGTCTCGACGAGCAGCAGCCATCTCATCACGAAGAGAACGAGTCGAACGTTCGTTCTCAAGTTGCGCGAACGCAAAAGCGGCACGATCGTCCGAACGATCGTGCGTTAGTGAATTATGATGATCCCTCACAAGATCCTCAAGCCCATAACGCCGAGATCGTTCATGAGCCAGGTCATCTTGCAACTGTTCCGTTAGACGGTTCAGCTCTTGAATATTAAGTTGATCCGGCCCTCGATCCGGATCAGGTGTTCCCGCCGCCACCACATCCTTTGGAGGACTCAAGCGGTGGTTAACGCTTCCTAGTGGAGCGTATTTTGAGCCACTGCAATGTGAATGGCGTCTGAACGAGTAACCTCGTCCTCTCGCGTGGCTATCCACCGGCCTGGGACAGCTGGGAGCCTCGTGCCCAGCTAATCGTTGATGTTCTGGGTCTCGTCAAGCAATATGACGAGACCCACCCACTGCGTTCGAAGAAGGGCCGCCGAAAAAAAACTATCCGAACGCGAGTACAGGGATTGCAAAGTGTCAATCCCTTAGGCCATCTTGGAAGAGATGCGCGCCCTCCAGTAGGGATTATTAGGATGGTAGGATTCCCTAGGGGCACGGATCGAGTCGTCCAGGCAACCTGGACGCGAATCACCCCACGAGAGACAGGGCAATCCTGCCTCTCTTGACAATAGCTGCAACTTGTATCGTACACAGACTGGGTTACGCTTCTCAAACCTGATGTGAGCTGCATCAAGTTTACCGAGCCAGGCCTCATGGCCAATGCACTCGATGTTGTGGATGAGGGCATTCCATCCCTGCACCAAGGCTTTGCCGTCTCGAACACGGCTTCCATTGTACCACCGGTGTTTGAAAAATGCATTGGTGAAGAACTCTTCCTCAGCACGGATAGTTTCCGTACTGAAATTAGGAGGACAGATCCTCCTACAGTCGAACAATAGAATTCGATCCTTTTCGGTAGTCATAACGGTCTATCGATCTAACTCCTTGGATGATGGTATCCAAGGAGACTATACTTTAGGAGCGTGGCGCAGACATTGCGGTCCCTGACTAATTGCGTGGTGTCATCATGAGCACCGACACAAGTAGCAGCTCAATCCTTCGAGTTGCTTCTCCCGTGGTGATGCGTTGGTGCGTCATCACCCTCAACACGCGTCCTAGTGTCAGATGGACTTGCGTGAGACGAGTATTCGTCAGATTGATCGCTCGGTCCAAAGATCTCGGACATGATGCCGCCATGTTCCCCAGAGCCAGTCAACCTGGCTCTTGTAGTGTCTGCCCGGATGATCCGGATGGCGTGAGGAGTCGCCTTCGATTCGGATACATCATCCGACTCGCCAGAGTAGATGAGCTCTATTTCAGGCTCATCTACATTGCGAGTTGCAGCACCCGCTGCAGGCGAAGCGGATGTATCAGTCGCACGTGGTGACTCACCACGTGGACTATTCACAACAGACACCGCCTGTTGCTAAATCGCAACAGCAATCGTAGGATCACCTGCTGCTGAAGCAATAAAAGAACCCTCTTCAGCTGTACGCATGCAACCACCTTTCTTGTTGCTTCGTCAGCACATCGAATGGACTGTTAAACCATGCAATGAATTGACAAATGAGTTGGAATTTAACCAACAAGTGCTCCCTTTCCCGGAGTGATCCAACGGTGGTCACCCTATCCCAATCAGTTGAATTCAATCAACGGGTGATTGATGGTAAAGGGGGGGGGTGTAACGGGATACCTCCCCGTTACATGATACTGACACCAAACGTTGTCAATAGGGAGATTTTCTAGCGTGACAATTCCCTGCCAATATTATCCGAGATAGATAACATTCATGCGCTGCTCAAAGATTGTTTGATATAAGCATTTCAACCAAGATTACCACCAATCGCTGCTAGACGCGTGTAATAAATGGTGAGCAGGTTTTCATCACACGACAATGTAGATTAATATAGCTAGATAAAAACTGAAGTTACATTGATAGCTTGACTACATTTAATACAGCTCTCTTTGTACGTTTTACTCAATCCAGCTGTTTGAGTAGATTTGTTTCCTCTGCACGTATGAGTGTTCGCGAAGTTTCGTGGCTCCCCAAACAAAGGGTGCCTCGTAACATTGTTCATTCCAAAAGCACAACGACCTCGTGGCTGATCGAGCAATCGACGTCCGCTGCTGTCAGGTTTAAGTAAAGCTTTCGCACGCCCTTTGCATGCCCTGAGATAGTCAGTGAAAAATCGCTAAAAGTGTGAGGTTTGTCCGTTTTACATTGCATCAGATTCCAAGTGAAACCGAAGAAGCCTATTACATGTTACCATCACCCGATACCTGTTTATTCGAAAATTAACATTGAATTCGAAGATGCTCATGAAATTACCGTAAGGGACAATATTAAAAAAACTCACAGGTTGGCGCGTATATGTCATCGTATCAGTCAGTTCTAGAGTACGATCAACGATGGATGCACACGATGAGTAGTGAGCAAGACTTAGGCAAAAAAAATTGTTTATATAAATGATCAAGTTAGGACTACAACATAGAATGATGATTAAGACTTCATCGAACTTGATGTCAATTTACTTTTACCTGCAACTAGTCAGTCCCTTGTTACTTTCCCTTTATCCGCGTAGAATACAGAGGTAGGAATGCACCACTCACCCAAGGGCTGAGTTCAGGACTCTTTAGAGCTTCTGAAGGTAGTACAAGGTATTCGTGACGTTCACTCTTACGCCTAGCACACATTTTACCTTATAAATTGCATAAAATGGACTCTGTAAGTAATCCGTGCTGATCAAAATTATTTAACAGGGCTTTACGGATGGTCCCGTGATAAACCACCTGTTATCCATCAAGTTGAATTCGCTTAAGAAAGTGATTACAAATGTAAAGGGGCACCTTTTTTTGGGGAGCCACGAAACTTCACGAATACTCATACGTGCAGAGGAAACAAATCTACTCAAACAGCTGGATTGAGTAAAACGTACAAAGAGAGCTGTATTAAATGTAGTCAAGCTATCAATATAACTTCAGTTTTTATCTAGCTATATTAATCTACATTGTCGTGTGATGAAAACCTGCTCACCATTTATTACACGCGTCTAGCAGCGATTGGTGGTAATCTTGGTTGAAATGCTTATATCAAACAATCTTTGAGCAGCGCATGAATGTTATCTATCTCGGATAATATTGGCAGGGAATTGTCACGCTAGAAAATCTCCCTATTGACAACGTTTGGTGTCAGTATCATGTAACAGGGAGGTATCCCGTTACACCCCCCCCTTTACCATCAATCACCCGTTGATTGAATTCAACTGATTGGGATAGGGTGACCACCGTTGGATCACTCCGGGAAAGGGAGCACTTGTTGGTCAAATTCCAACTCATTTGTCAATTCATTGCATGGTTTAACAGTCCATTCGATGTGCTGACGAAGCAACAAGAAAGGTGGTTGCATGCGTACAGCTGAAGAGGGTTCTTTTATTGCTTCAGCAGCAGGTGATCCTACGATTGCTGTTGCGATTTAGCAACAGGCGGTGTCTGTTGTGAATAGTCCACGTGGTGAGTCACCACGTGCGACTGATACATCCGCTTCGCCTGCAGCGGGTGCTGCAACTCGCAATGTAGATGAGCCTGAAATAGAGCTCATCTACTCTGGCGAGTCGGATGATGTATCCGAATCGAAGGCGACTCCTCACGCCATCCGGATCATCCGGGCAGACACTACAAGAGCCAGGTTGACTGGCTCTGGGGAACATGGCGGCATCATGTCCGAGATCTTTGGACCGAGCGATCAATCTGACGAATACTCGTCTCACGCAAGTCCATCTGACACTAGGACGCGTGTTGAGGGTGATGACGCACCAACGCATCACCACGAGAGAAGCAACTCGAAGGATTGAGCTGCTACTTGTGTCGGTGCTCATGATGACACCACGCAATTAGTCAGGGACCGCAATGTCTGCGCCACGCTCCTAAAGTATAGTCTCCTTGGATACCATCATCCAAGGAGTTAGATCGATAGACCGTTATGACTACCGAAAAGGATCGAATTCTATTGTTCGACTGTAGGAGGATCTGTCCTCCTAATTTCAGTACGGAAACTATCCGTGCTGAGGAAGAGTTCTTCACCAATGCATTTTTCAAACACCGGTGGTACAATGGAAGCCGTGTTCGAGACGGCAAAGCCTTGGTGCAGGGATGGAATGCCCTCATCCACAACATCGAGTGCATTGGCCATGAGGCCTGGCTCGGTAAACTTGATGCAGCTCACATCAGGTTTGAGAAGCGTAACCCAGTCTGTGTACGATACAAGTTGCAGCTATTGTCAAGAGAGGCAGGATTGCCCTGTCTCTCGTGGGGTGATTCGCGTCCAGGTTGCCTGGACGACTCGATCCGTGCCCCTAGGGAATCCTACCATCCTAATAATCCCTACTGGAGGGCGCGCATCTCTTCCAAGATGGCCTAAGGGATTGACACTTTGCAATCCCTGTACTCGCGTTCGGATAGTTTTTTTTTCGGCGGCCCTTCTTCGAACGCAGTGGGTGGGTCTCGTCATATTGCTTGACGAGACCCAGAACATCAACGATTAGCTGGGCACGAGGCTCCCAGCTGTCCCAGGCCGGTGGATAGCCACGCGAGAGGACGAGGTTACTCGTTCAGACGCCATTCACATTGCAGTGGCTCAAAATACGCTCCACTAGGAAGCGTTAACCACCGCTTGAGTCCTCCAAAGGATGTGGTGGCGGCGGGAACACCTGATCCGGATCGAGGGCCGGATCAACTTAATATTCAAGAGCTGAACCGTCTAACGGAACAGTTGCAAGATGACCTGGCTCATGAACGATCTCGGCGTTATGGGCTTGAGGATCTTGTGAGGGATCATCATAATTCACTAACGTACGATCGTTCGGACGATCGTGCCGCTTTTGCGTTTGCGCAACTTGAGAACGAACGTTCGACTCGTTCTCTTCGTGATGAGATGGCTGCTGCTCGTCGAGACATCGCTGAGCTGCGTGAACAGGTCGCTTCGCTAGTCGACCAAACTGGCTCGTTGAAACGGGACCACTCGAAGGTGGTCTCTGCCCTTGACCGCGGAGGTGTTCTTCACCTCTCGAAACGGGCTCGTACTGGTAGTACAGGCGGAGACGACCAACGTAAAGATAGGATGCATACGCATCCTACGAGGCAGTTCAATAGTGTACGCGTTGCCCATTCGGCG